TGCCATTCGATACCATTAGATGCACAACATCGTACCCTGTTTTCGAAGCACCCACAACGGTGACAGACTTAATATTAGGGTCCTGCGCAATACGCGCTCCCTCCTCACGCAGTTGGACATGGTTTATGACCGGTCTTTTGAATTCCCCAACCCCGCGGATATTGATCGGGTTAGCGGTCGACGACAATCCTGTGGACATAATAAGTTTTTGACATGAGTAGATCACGCTTTGGGCTGGATCCTTGGTTGTCGTAAATAAGCGCCAGCCTTGATCGAGCTTTTCAACTTCAAGAACTTGGATTTCGTAATGGATCCGTCGACGGATGTCGAAGTGGTCCGCGAAATCATTCAGATATCGGTGCAGAACATGTCCAGGGATATGACCGTTTTCAGTGATTCCATATTTGGCGCCCATGGGGAACTCGGTGAATTCATATGTTCCCCCGAGGTTGTTCGTTTTCAGGCCTTCATAGCAATTTTCTTCGGACCAGACGCCTCCGATGGTCGGTCGCTATCCTGTAAATTAGACCCTATTCTTGGCGGAAAATAAGAACCATCTTAGTGACTCACCTTTTCCAGAAGCACAATATCTGTTTGCGGTGACAGTTCAAGATAGGTTTTTGTGGCTGCGAGGCCACCTATTCCTGTCCCAACCACAATTACCTCTGCAGCTCGGTATTCAATTGGCATCTTGGAAATTCGATCTAGGAAAATCGAGGTATAATTGTCAAAAGAGATCCTTAATTGAGATGTTTAATTGAGGTGTTTAATTAAAGCCATACATCAAGCGTTGTTATCCTCTTCTCCTTATATCTCTGCTTTCCCAATCTTCCTACTCCATGTCTGGAGAACGCAGGGCTATGATTCGGACTTTACACCAAGACCCTAGTTAGGTGGGGATACGTTCATCAGGGTTATGGTATCTGGACCTTACGTGGGGCGAGGGTGGGGAGTGCGAAGGGGGGAACTGCATAATTGTCCCCATTGACTAGGTGCATTATCCGGTAGTCCAGTCGGCTATAGAACACCATCCGGATAATCCCCACTTTCGGCTCTTATCTTGCTTCTCAATCGGCACAAGGGCAGATAACATCCTTTCTAAATTATGGAGCATCATTCGAGTCCCTCAGACTTTGCCCTTGTGATAATTTTTGTCATTGACAGAGATCGCATCTGATTGTTCCAATACACATAAGCAGAACGACCAAACCCCAATTTTGACCATTCTGATGAGGAAAGGACGTGCGCACAGGCCAATTAGCTTCCAACTAGAGAGCCAACTGTGAAGTATAACCTCAACTGCCATTATCTAATATCTATTTTTCTGCAATCAACGTTTTTATCATAATTCTCTGTTTTACGCTTGCAACCATATCGCAAAATTCCAAGCGGAGGGAGCACCAGGACGCAAGCATGACTGTGGGCAGGAAAAAACCACAAGCTACTTGCTCAAGAGAGAAGCATTATCGCTGTTCCATGGCAGGGTGTGATAAGACCTTCACCCGGTTGTCTCACCTCCAACGACACTCGCTGAACCACTCAGAGACCCGCTGGGTCTGCGGTCGATGCCATGCCTCGTTCAAGAGATTAGACCTGCTGGGTATGCATTAACGGTTTAATTTAGGGACGTAATCTAACTTTTCTTATAGAACGACACAAAGCGCGCCATACGGTCAAGGATGGTCTGGCCGGTGGTGCAGGGCTAGGCATACTCCAGACCCGCCGGAAAACTATATCTGGTTCCCATATGGCTAGGGTTCCACTCTCCCCTCGGCCTTCGGGCCTGGAGCAGGATACAGACAAGGTCGAGCCCTTCACGAGACCGGCACAATCTGGTTCCTCTTGTCAAATCGACGCCCAGATTCAAGATGGAGGCACGGGTGATAATGCAGTCGCGGGTCAACAGCTGTCCGGACGCCATTCTCTGAGTTCTCAGCCACAACTGGATGCAGCGCCCATTGCGAATACTGACTCTTTAAACATGGATGAGCTAATTAATATGTATTACGACACTTCCTTTGATGCAGTGCACTTTGACGTAATGGGCTTGGCCCTCTCGCCTCTAGCCACGGGTCAGACTCTACCTCAGATTGAAGTAGAGGATCAGAATGACCACCAGGAGGTCCAGAATCTTCACCCTTCCCCTGACAGGCCGATTAGCCGTGAGTGTACAGAAATCCAGTCCAGTGGTCCAGAAACGGCCATACCAAGACATGATACTCGGTCGGCATGCATTGTGCGGAACACCACTAATATCACCCCATTTCGACACGATCCGATGGTAAGAATATACCTACGTCTAGAAAGCATATTCTTCCGCCGCCCTAGGCTGACCATTATGGTGATGTGGGCATAACGTGCTGTGGATGCTGACCACTCGACAACAGTGTCTCGAGCCCCTTATGCACGACGTGTTCCTACAGAATGCTGAGAATGGGGATTCCCAAGATGTCACTCTCCCAGGTGGCAGGATCGCCCTTTCCGTTTCCAAACGAGACGAGATTCTCAGGCTTCTATCAGAAATACGTCCAGTGACACCAGAAGGCACCATTATCGATGGCAATACAGCGCTCTTGTCGATAGACAATATGCAAGACTATATCAGTCTATTCTTCCGCTTTTTCAATTCCTCCTACCCGATGGTCCATTTGGCGACTCTTGACATAGAAGGAGGAGACCCTGTCTTTCTACTCTCCATAATCATTTTAGGTCAGACATACAAGAACAAAGACACTCATCAACTGTCCGTGTATCTATACGATGCCCTGGTGCCGTATATCCTTAGCGGACTGATGAGCGTTCCGATGCCCGATCTATCGATGCTACAGGCTTTTCTTATTCTTGAATGCTATGGCATGTATCGAGCTGGCCCGTATCAGCGCGAAAACGCTATGTTGATTCATACCCTTCTGTTTGGTGTTAGTATGCACCCAGTTGTTGAAACCTCTCATTTGCTCATGTGTAAGCTTAGGCCATTCGGCGGGTATCCCGATACCATGTTCGCGGGGGAATACTGCTCCCTAGTCACCTAGTCCAACCCGACCTGGACTGGAAGGGCTTTGCCTATGCCGAACAATATAAAAGGTATCTAATCTAAGCTACTTTTCTTCTAGTGCGCGACTTCCTTTTTTTACTCTTCCCTACTTTTCCTAACCATCTTCTCCCAGACTAATCCTCTTCGTCTTTATGTGGGATACGCAAAACGTGTCCTGCTACTCTGTGATGCCTAACATGTCCACACATAACATCCAAGTCCCGCTTCCATGTTCCCAAGAGTTGTGGGAAGCGCCCAGCGAGAAAGCCTGGGAACATATCCGGAAATCTCACACTGAGCCGGCATACTTCAATAGCATGATCAAAGACCTCATCCAAGACGGAGATAAATTTCAAAGTTTGCCAATGGACAGTTTATCACTTACGCTGGTTCTTCATGGCATTATGTCCATGTGTAACGATATTGCGCATTTCGACAACAAGTCCATATGCCTAAGCGATATAGACCACGGCGGGGAGCAATGGAGACCATGGCGAATGAGGATGGCCCATGCCCTGGAGACGTGGAAAGCACACTACGACGCCTACACCATGTGCCTATTTCAGAGCATGGGCGACAGGAGCAATCACAGGCAAGAGAGTGTTGCTACTCTGGCACTGTATCATACCGCACATATTGTAATCAACTGTGAAGTCCGTCACCTGCAAGCTGCTGCCGGGGCTAAGGCTATCTTTGGACATATAGTGATGACAGAAGATCGCCAGATATCTGAGGACTGGATTAGGAATTGGGTCAGCACAAATGCGACCGCCGCAGAGCAGGCAGCATGGCATGCGGCGCAGATGATGCGTGAAGGGATTCTCAATTTGAGAAATTGGGATGTAAACGGTGTATTCCACTACCCGTGGTGCTTGGTTATAGGGACGCTGACGTGCTGGGCATTTCATTGCTTCGGTGGCGAGATATCAGATGCCCGTGAGATATGTAGACATCCTGAGAGAGACATGCCCCAGACACAGTCTAGGGTGTTGATGAACCATATGGTCTCGCTAATGGGGTCCGTATCCCCAGCGAATATTCGCCGCACTTTGGGAAAGTGCTGTACGCATGGTCTTACTGTTGAAGTCGCCCGGTACTTGAGGAGTGTGCGTTGGACTGCGGCATATGAGGCCATGAAGCTACTGATGGCGCTATCAACCAGGTCCTGATTCAGTATCATGACCTCGACACATATATCTTATCTACTAATGATCGAAGCTATCTGGCCTAACTATTAGAAGGAAGTGGCCAAATAAATGAACATGAGTTGCTTCTCAAGGGTGTTCCGGTCGATCCTTTCCATACACTTATGTATGCATATGGACCCTTCAAAACAATCAGCCATCACGAAGAGTTGGATTCTAGACTTTGGTCTTTTTCCCTTTCATGTTTAGGAAATAAAACAAGAGAAGACAAAAAACATACAACAGAAGGGATTCGCTGGTGGTCACCCACCCAACTACTAACCTCCCGGCGTGTGGCTTAAGTACGGCTGAGCGGACGGGAAGCCCTGTTTTCCACACCCTGTGGTCGTATGTGCTTGAGATATGATTGGAAAGCTAGATAACAAGGCTTGTCTAATTTGATAACTAAGTCTTCTATAGACGCCGACTTCTAGGACTGACCAGATCTACCATTGTGCATCCTAAACATGTTCAAGCACAAGCCAATGCCAAGACTATAACCTCACTTATTTGGCTCGCAGCTTTAATGGTACATTGTAAAACAAGGCATATAAATAAAGCCCTCGGTTCAAGCAATTGTATAGCCTAGTGCTTCGTAGAGAAAGCGCAGGAAGTATCTGAAACGCGTGTTGCTTCTGCCAAAAGAGTTACCGGTACAATTACTTCGCCGCAATACAGGGGCAAGAAAGCTGTTGGGTGGGCATACCACAGCAGAATTGCCTAGTCCATATCTGAGCCACTCAAGCAAGCATCCGCTAGATGACTACATTCGGAACCCATCCATGGAATACGTTCATTGGTATATTCGACATCGAGTGCGAATATGATTGGAGAATCTGCGGCATACTGACCACGCAAAATAGGCCGTCAGGGCGACACAAGGGAACACTAATCTGGAGCGGAAAACTGAATCTATTCTGGGTATACTTTCCCAGCCTGCGCGAATAGATGGTAGATCCACTGACGTAGCTAAACAGTCCATTTACCGTGTTTCCGGACTTTGCAGTGTCTTTGGAGTACAGGTTCTCCCTCCTGGAAATGTGGAGCTAGGCAAGCTGATACAGATGTTCGAAAAACCATTGTAAAGTGCCTTACCAACGCAGATATTTCTTTCTGGCGAGTCGCCAAAAGAGGGGATAGTCTCTACATTCAGAGAAAATTGTGGTTGATTCGTCACCATTGGTAAAAGGAAACCTGGAATTACTAATGCTCTTTGCTTACTGCAACATATCAGCCCATTCAACTTGATATTCAAGCCGGGAATACTCGCTGGCTTCTGACAGGGATTCTCGTAAAGGCTAAGCATTATTAGTGGACAATGCGAGCGCACACAAGGCCGGGCTGGAGAAGGCTTTCCAGACAGTTGAGGAGAGTGTCGGTGGAATTGTCAAGCTTATTGACGGTGCCACGCACGAGTCCGTGGGAGCCCAGTTGCGGGTCTGGGATGGTACCGTCTTTCCGTGGTAAATGGCCCTCATGCTAGCAGTTATTAGATGAGTAGAGTTACTCTTTACCAGGAATTATCATATACTGTTGATTGAAGTGGTCAAATTCGAGATCGGTAATTATACCAGTATAAGCATACTTTCAAGGGCTCATCACGTCGGGTTTGGACGGTAAGAAACCGCCACGATACCTACTGAAGAATCCCCCCCATGAGTGGCCATTGAAGGCGACAGCGACTGCCAACACTTGATTCTGGTCTATATAACATTTACTTGTAGCATATTTTCAACAATTGGCCTGCTGGCCCAATGGTAAGGCGCTTGACTACGGATCAAGAGATTGCAGGTTCGAATCCTGCGTAGGTCATTCTTTTTTGCTTTTTTGTTTTGTGGCTCGCTCGGCTACCCGTTATAGTGACTGAAGAGAGCCGTTTACCTTGTCGCTTTTTCTTCCTACCCACATTTTTCTCGGTCTCTCGCACAAGCAGTTTCTGTGAGATCACTCGCACCCTTCCAAAGGCTAAATAAACAATATTACTTCGTCTTCCAAGTACAGTCCAAGTAAGACGGTCGCCATTAATTGCTCAGTGATACTACTGAAAACTACACTTGAAGAAAAAAGCGCAAGAATATCTATCAACAGGCTTGAATTCAGATTATGACTATGACAGACTGGCCTGGATCCTCTCAATATCAGTGTAAGTAGGACTCGTCACAAAAAGGACGACGCAAATAATTAGACAATATAATCATGAACGAATGACAGCATTGAACCCATTCCCATCCCATAAGATATACCTAAACCATTTTGAAACAATCGATTCCCGGAAGCTCGAGGTAGTGTGGTGTCGCTTTAGAGCGATCGATCGATACCAACGCCGTAACTCCTATTGACTTCTTAGCAGCCAGGCCAAAATCTCAAGATGAAGTGTGATACATACCTTAAGCAGAGAAGTTCAAGGACGCAGAAGCCTTCGCATTAGCGCTAGCAGAGGCCTCAGCGCTACCACTAACGGAGGCCCCAGCACTAGCGTTGGCATCAGCATTTCCGCTACCGCTGGCAGAGGCATCGGCATCCGCGCTGGCAGAGGCGTCTGCATCCGCGCTAGCATCCGCATCTGCATCGGCATCAGCTCCGGCACCGGAATCGTCGCTGTCGTCGCCGCCCGTGGATCCTCCAGCCGTGATGCTGCCGCTGGCGCCGCCGTAAGGACCGAGAGAGACGCTGGTGGAGGCACTGACCCAAGTGGTGGTGGCGCTGGGAGCTTCTGCGGTGGTGGGGGAAACACCGACGTCAGTATCGTCATCGCCGCTGCCAGAAGCTCCGGCACCGAGAGAAGCAGAGCCGGATCCGCTGCCGCTCACATCACCCGAGGCATCGCCGGAAGCACCGAGATCAGCACCCGCACCGAGGCCAGCAGATCCAGATCCAGAGAGACCAGCGGAGCCAGATCCAGAAAGACCGGCACCAAGACCAGCACTAGCGCTAGGGCTAGCACCGACGCTGCCACTGGGGCTGGCACCAAGACCAGCGCCAGCACCGAGACCAGCAGATCCAGATCCAGAGAGACCGGCAGAGCCAGAGCCGGAAAGACCAGCACCGAGACCAGCACCAGCAGCGCCGGAAGCACCAGCGCCAGCAGCACCGGTAGCGCTACCACCAAGACCGGCAGAGCCACCAAGGCCAGCAGCACCCGAGGCACCGGCACCGAGGGAACCGGTGGCACTGCCTCCAAGACCAGCGCCAGCACCGAGGCCAGCGGCACCCGAAGCGCCGGCACCGAGAGATCCGGTAGCACTTCCTCCAAGACCGGCACCAGCACCAAGGCCAGCAGCGCCGGAGGCACCAGCGCCAGCAGCACCGGTAGCGCTACCACCGAGGCCAGCAGAGCCACCGAGGCCAGCAGCACCCGAAGCGCCGGCACCGAGGGAACCGGTAGCACTTCCTCCAAGACCGGCGCCAGCACCAAGGCCAGCAGCGCCGGAAGCACCCGCGCCAGCAGAACCGGTAGCGCTGCCACCGAGACCAGCGCCCAGACCGGCGGAGCCACCAAGACCGGCGGAACCGCCGAGACCAGCAGCACCGGAAGCACCAGCGCCAGCGGAGCCAGTAGCACTTCCTCCAAGACCAGCACCAAGGCCGGCGCTGCCACCCAGGCCAGCAGAGCCACCGAGGCCAGCAGCGCCAGAAGCACCGGCACCAGCAGCACCAGTGGCACTTCCTCCCAGACCAGCGCCGAGACCAGCGCTACCACCCAGACCAGCAGAGCCACCGAGGCCAGCAGATCCACCAAGACCAGCGCCCAGGCCAGCAGAGCCCGAGGCACCAGCACCAGCAGCGCCAGTAGCACTGGCACCAAGACCGGCACCAGCGCTGCCACTTCCACCCAGACCAAGACCGGCACCCAGATCAGCGCCCAGGTCAGCAGATCCACCCAGGCCAGCGGAGCCACCAAGACCGGCAGCTCCCGAAGCACCAGCACCCGCAGCACCGGTAGCACTGGCACCGGCACCACCGCCCAGAAGGGCACCCAGACCAGCGCTGCCGCTCAGACCGGCGCCGAGGTCAGCACCGAGACCAGCACCAGCACTTCCACTACCGCTGCCGCTACCACCAAGGCTGGCGCCCAAGTCGGCGTTGCCGCTGCCGCTGGCACTGCCACCGAGACCGAGACTGGCACCCAGGCCGGAGCTTCCCAGGAGGCTACCAGCGCCGCTGAGGAAGGGAAGGAGGCATGGGATGGGGATGGCGGAGACGGTGGCGGCGGTGACGAGGGTCGCAGCGGAGACTCTGTAGAAGCGAACCATTTTGACTGATTGATTTCGGTTTCTGTGAGGGTCAGTACTGTGCCAAGAATGATTGTAACTGAAGATCAGAAAGTGGTGGGAAGGTTACCTTCGAGAAACGGGAATCGAGAAGAACGAGAGTTGAACGGAATTATTGAAAATGTAAACACAGAGATCGATACGCCACAGGCGATCTGAAAAGCAAACGAGAGCGAGAGGAAAAAGAGAAGAAAAGACTGGTGAGAGGGATGAGGATGGGATGGAAAGAAAGTCAACCTGATCGGTGGTGGTGACAGAGGCTATATATGCCTTTTTTGCGTCGAAAGGTTCCCGTCTTCTTCTCCCGCATCCCGGAGGAGAGCCATGGCTGTCTCCCCGTGAATAGGGGCCCGTGAAACCGCGGTGGTTTGATAGTGGCTGCTCGTGTCAGTGTAGAGTTTCTAAGAAAAGTGTCCATGGCCTGGTTCGGACCTGCCAAGCATCTTAGTGAACCGTAGAATGAACCATCATCTGGGTTTTCCGACGGGCACGGACTTCGTAGAGAGTGGATAAGGTCAGGGACGACGGGCTCTCCTGGGACTGGAACATCTGCATTGATCAAAATGGGCACAGAGCCGCCACTCAACCGGGAATCAGAGCTCCGAATCAGGCAGGGGAGACCGGCTCAGAACCTGGCCGGTGTCGCTGCGTCGAAACGCGCTAGAATTGTGACCCAGAGATCGAGATGAAAAGAGGTTTTCGATCTGGGATCAAGGAGACTAATGCTTGAGCATTGTTGATGACCTGAATTAGGGGGCAATGGCTTGAGGTTGTCCATTGTAATGAGATGCGCTGATAGCATAGACGAGCGTGTATGAGAACGAGAGCACCAAACGAGTCACTATTGATGCCTGAGCATTGATAGTGAACTCCGGATAAACGTAAATTCCTTGACTGCAGGAATTGATGCAAGACGGGCTGGAGAGCAGTGGAGGTGTATCACGATCGTGACCCCTGCGCTAGCGATCTGCAGCCCATGTTTGGAGTTTGCCCGAAGATGGGGGGATCGGCTGGTTCTTCCGGGCGTTGCGGATGATCCTCGGAACTGACCCCGTTTAGGCTTCCTATGTCTTTTCTGATCGGCAGGAACATTAACTCAACTCTCCAAGTTTATTCATTCACTTACTTCACCTCGCATCTACAGCTTCGACCTTATTAATCTTCTGTGTATACTCAGTTGCGGTTACTATTCTACTATCCACAAGTTCACACCCCTTTCTTCTATCTCCCCTGAGCTAAGAATAGCCCATCCAATGAGGACCCGCTGTTTCGAGCCAAACCCTATTTTGGCCTCGTCTCACCCTGAAACCCCACCGTTCGCTCGACCTCGACTTCCCAACTTTGGGGAGCTCTCTACGCCCTCTCTCTAGCCTACAAAGACTAAACCTCAATCGGAAATGGTGTCCGTTGCCAGGAACCACCCATGCAGACCCCGAGCAGCGAACCCGCGACCACTGAAGCAGCCTAAAATTCCCGAGACCAATAATGAACCCCTAAAGAAGAGGGTCTAACGGAATAGTCCCTCCAGACTATCCACATGGAAGCTTAGCACGCAAGAAAGAAGCACTTTAGAGTTTACAATTCTCGAAGTCGCCGATGTAGTCGGAAGGTGGTGCCGACACTCGACTGGGGCTTTACCTTTTTTCCCTACGGCTGACCCTCGAACTTACTACTGGCTGATTTCTTTCCCTCGAAACAAACCAACCTTGCTCACCAACCACGACGACACTTTGCCGGGTCTGAGTGTTTCATATCCCAGTTACAACATTGGGAAGACGGGGGAAACGCGGGAAATTTTATCCACTGCCTCCATCGCGAAAGTCGAAAATAGAATCAATGTCTCCGTATGGGCCATCTGCCATGGCCACGATCGCGGAGGGATGGGCGTCGTATCGAGGTCATCTATTCGTCAATGGTGGGATAGCGAGTGACAGATCTGCTAAGAATAGGTCATGGCCTGATCATGAGGTTGGGGTATGGAGTACACAGTCTACCATTCCTAGTAAGTCTGCCCACTACGGCAGTAAATGTGCTTTTACCCTATTGTGGTGAATAACTCGGCTTCTTGCCGCCCAAGGGTCCCTAGCGGTCGGGATTCTCTCTTCAATTGGATATCGCTCACGGCTCGATTTGTTGTCTGTGGGAATGGGAAAGAACAGAATCGAATGAGAAGCATGGTTCAACAGTCTAGACTGCTGGATCGGCGAAAATTCTGCATCTTGCGGGAAAAGCGTGTCTGAGTTTATTTCACCTTGTAGGGAAAGACGAAGCATCGATCAGCGATTAATAACTTTTGGTATCGGAAATGAGGTCCCGATTACCTAAATATCTACGATATGAGGACTTTGGGACTCATGATTGGGGTGATATCGTCAGGTATGAGAGACTACGCTGGGCTTGTTGATTATTACGCGATATCCCGCAAGGGTTGGTGGTTATGACGAGTTGCCTCAGGATAGCGAAGGAGCTTGGTTGGGTGTTATCCGGTAGCAGCACATCACTTATGGGAAGCATGAGATATGGTGCGATCAGGACCATGTGTAGGTCAAGCCAGTTCTGACCTTGATTTGCCGGTGGATGAGAAAAACTTACGACACTGGGAGATATGGAACTGCGAAGATACAGTCTTTCATGCTAGACGACTGTAGTATATGCAGCATGATCTGGCATGTCAGCTAGCATATGTGGACTTGGAAGAGTGTCTGTCTGAACAATTCGCTGTACTCTTTACAACATTTCGCTTTTCTAACAGTCAACACTTCTGCTGCCAGTTTAGGTATCGCAACTGCTTTGTCTCGAAGATTCATCATCTGAGCATCTTCCTTGCTCTCCACGTCGTACCTTATCTCTGACGCAATAAATCTGCACTCACCTTCATGTCATTCCAATTTTCAATCAACACACCCTAATTCGCTAGTTAGTCCTATCCATCAACCTCTTCTCCATGTCTTTACAGTCATTATCGGTCGGCTCAGAGTCAATTGCGTCCTGGTTCGGTATGCCCTTGCACGGTACCAGCAGCCATGACTTGCTACCCAAGCGTTCACCGCACCTGATACCTTTAGACCTTAATGATTTCATGAAGTACATAGTCCTCAGCATGGATAAGAATGCATCTCTGAGGCTTTAAATGGCACTTAATTTACCGCTATCCAGTCTTTCAAGAAACCTCCTTTCACCAATACAACATACACTCAGGTTGCGCAAGTCCTGTGATTTGGTGTCATATACACAGTTCCAAGTCTAATCAGACTAAACGTTACATTCTAATCACTCAAGAAGCGACCCGACTGTCATCTGCTGGCGAATGTGTTTGTCCCTCGTCCATCACGTGACTGGTATTTATTTCCCCGCGTTTTCCGGCCCCATCCCGATTAGGCAAATGTTGCGGTCGATCCCCCCTTCACCGTCAGCCGCAAACAGTGATGACTGCTTCAAGTCTTCATCCCCAATCAGTGCATCTTCCTGAGAGCATGGCAGATTGGGTGTAGCGAGCACCATTGGCCACTTTAACAACTCACCTTCGACAGGCCCAGAGCCCTATGACCCTCGTCGATCAATAACCAAAGCATTCATTCGTTCGCTTCTAGAAGCCTGCGATCATCCTGCATAGTGTCTCTGCGACCCTGAAGATCCCGATAATCCCATTGAACCTCGGATACCCAATAAGGCGAACCACGGACCATCCCAAATTTTGTTCGTCGATCCTCAACGGGCGAAATTGGATCTCTCATTTATCAGACCTCATCACCCAGCCATGATCCGTTGGCAAACAAACTATTACCTTCGTGCCTGCGGGCGGCGATCATCATTAACCGCCTGCGGTGTATCCCAACAGCCATCCTCACTCAGGATTAGGGGGAGATTTCAGCACCAAGCAAACTATGCAACTAATCCGCAACATCACCCGAGGCAGCAGTCGGCCACGTTGCCCATCCTGGGGACGATTGTCGCTACCGCGGCTGTAACGCTTTTTGCGTCCGAGGCTTGGCGCGGAAGGGAAGCCTCCAAGACGCAGGACGTTGCTAAAGATGTTCAATACGGACCATCTCAATCTGGATCATCCAAATATGCGGACGTCCCGACGATGCTTCGGGTATGTAGCACACTTACAGCTTAACAGTCATTATTATTGATCGCGAGATATAGGCCGTCGAGGAAATCAAGACAATCATCGGACCCGACAATGTAAGTGTTGACGCCGACGACATTGAAATTCATGGATACTCCGAATGGTCCACGTCCAACACCACCGCACGACCAATTGCGGTTCTTAGTCCAGCCACAACAGAGGAAGTATCCGCAATCGCCAAAGTATGCACCAAATACAAGGTTCCCATGGTGCCGTTCGGCGCCGGATCAAGCGTTGAAGGGAACTTTGCAGCTCCTCACTCGGGTGTCTGCATTGACCTGTCGCGGATGAACAAGGTCATTGAGCTGTACGAGCAGGACATGAATGTGACGGTTCAAGCAGGTGTGCGATGGACGGATCTAAACGAGGAGATCAAGTCTACTGGGCTGTTTCTGCCCATGGACCCCAGTCCTACTGCGTATGTTGGTGGTATGGTCGCGACGAATTGCAGTGGCACGAATGCGATGCGCTACGGGACGATGAAGGACTGGGTGGTTAATCTCACTGTCGTGCTTCCGGATGGAACAGTGATCAAGACGAAACGGCGACCGCGCAAGTCTTCTGCTGGGTATAACCTGAACGCGCTCTTTACTGGATCAGAAGGGACTTTGGGAATCATCACGGAGGCGACGCTCAAGCTTGCTATCATTCCCGAAGACAGCAGTGTTGGGATTGCTACCTTTCCCACGGTCGGTGACGCAACGGCCGCAGCATCGAAGTTGATCCGTGATGGGGTTCCTCTCGCGGCGTTGGAATTCATGGACGACGTGCAGATGAAGATCATCAACCAGAACGGTGGCGCAGGTGGGAGGTTTTGGTCGGAGGAGCCGACCCTCTTTTTGAAGTAAGA